TCCTTCTACGTACGTACCTACGTCGTTCTTGCTCAAATGTCATCTTAATTTTATGTTGTATTTCTCTCAACGCTTCGATCTCTAATCTTTCATTTTTTTACGTACAAGAAGTATATATACGTGGAATATATATTTATATAACGGCCGTTATGGCCGTTAAATTCGTCTCGTCTCGTTTTCGTGATTTTCGATGTAAATCACGATTGAATGTATTATATATTTATATATATAAACGAAAAAAGAAAAAAAAGAAAAAAAAAGGGAAAGAAAGATCGTAAAGCGAGGTTTTCCTTTTTTCTTTTCTTCCCTCACGGAGGGGAGGGGGAATATGAAGTGCCATACTTCTCTCTCGCGACGTATAATAATAATAATAATAATAATAATAATAATAATAATAATAATAATAATGTACTTGTACGCAAATTCGCAATTAAGCTTCGATAAGCGAGATTAATAAGAGAAATGTGTAACGAGGCAACCGTTTATTATTATCGAAGAGAAATATCGGTTTCGATTCGTATCGTGATTGAATTGGCGATCGGCCGGAACCCAAGTTAATAAGAAAATTTACGATATTGGCGAGTATTGGCGTTCGGTATAGCGTGAAAAAAAAAAAAAAAAAAAAAAGAAAATTGGTCCAAGCTGACTTAATTTAGACATCTGTCGAATCGAAGAGAATTCCTATACCTCTCGTTGCGCGTGATCGCACGTCGCGCAAGGATAAAGGAATTAAATTTGAAACTTTTTTTTATTCGGCAAAGAAAAATCTGTGGCGATCGAGTTAATCGAAACGCCACAATTGCTTCGATTTCATATGCAATTCGATCGTCCTAGAAATGATCAGGTTGTGTGTAGAAATATCGTGCGAAGAAAGATAAAAGAAAGATAAATTATTTTAATCGATTTAATTATTATTTACGATTTATTATTTAAAACGAAGAGATTTATCATTTAAAAAATTTCCTCGAGATCGATTACTTTGTTTACACATTATAACATAAATAATTCGAAATAATTGGTCGTTAGTAGGGAGCACAAGCCAAGCAAAATAATCAAATCGAATAAAGAAGAAGAAGGGTAGTAGATAAAAACTCGGTATCGTCGAAAAAAAAGTTGAGATCGTAGGGGGGGGTAGTGGGAGAGAAGAAACGCAAAAGAAGCAGAACAGAAAGAAGAATAAAAGATCGAAGAAGACAGAAAGAGAGAGAGAAAGAGAGAGAGAGAGAGAGAGAAAGAGAGAGAAGAAAAAGAGAGAGGTAGAGATCAACGATGAGGGGGCGGAGGATGATGCAGAAGAGCAAAAAATAGAAAAACACAATAATTGAATAGAAGCGAGCAAAGAGGGGGGGAAAACACGAAGAAGAAGACGTGAAATATACAATGGTGGCCGATAACGATTTTTTTTTTTTTTTCTTTTTTTTTTTTTATAAAATATAAAAAAAAAAAAAGAAAAAAAAAGGAAAAAGTGGAAAGGAGGGGAGAGAGAGGGGGGAAAAAAACGAAAAAGAAGACGTGAAATATACAATGGTGGCCGATAACGATTTTTTTTTTTTTTTCTTCTTCTTTTTCGCATTCCTTCTGATTTTCTTCCGATTTTGCACCGTACACCCACGCACGCACACGCGCACACACACGCGCGTAGTCTCACGCACACGCGTTTTGAATCACGCGTGAGATTTTTTTTTCGAAAGGGATCAACTCAGCCCCTTCATGATGTGTTCTTTTTTTTTTTCCTCCCTTGACTTGTGTATGCGCAATTCTTTTTTTTTTCTATTTTATATGAAAAAAAAAAAAGAAAAAAAAAAGAAAGAAAGAAAGAAACTGGAAAGAGACAGAGAGAGAGAGAGAGAGAGAGAAAGAAAGAGAAAGAGAGAAAAGGGGGAAAAAGAATGATCGGAACAAAAAAGAGAAAAAAACTAGAAAAAAAAAAGAAACTAAAAAACGAAAAAAAGAATCG